GCCGATTGGTTTTTGGCATTTTTTTACGATATGAAAAAAAAACATTTTATGCCTCACCTCCTACTACCCTACAGACGTAATGGGTAGATGGTCTATACAGCAGGTTGTCATCACCGTCATATGACTAATCAATCAGCAATTACAATGTTCAGGGACGTTGGACCCGTTTTCCAATAGGTGCTGCTCCCCAGCATTATGCCATCAACCGCACACCCGGTTGCACACAAAATGGACCAAACAGATTCAACAGGGTTACCATTCTCGGACCACATCATCTAACCAACATACGACGGTTGGGAATTAGTTTTGGAGCATTCACTTTCGGGACTCAGGACTCGCAGCCGCAGATCTACCTCATCCAAGGCCTACAACGAGCATAGTCAATTCCACTTTGTAGATCCACGATGAACAAACAACTACTCAACATCTACGGCTCATAGGATTTGGCAGGTCAACTCACCCTGGCTGAAGCACGGCCTCGTCTACTCGTCCGGTCCCACTGCCCTGTCCAGCGACGGTACAAGTCACAAGTGACTGGACAGGTGATTGTCCAGTCAGAGTTGAGAAGGGCTGAGAATAACTGAGACAAGCTAAGCAAATGATGAGAAAAACTAAGGTGTGCGAAAATAGGCTAAGAATGCATACACTGTTAAGAAATCTTGAGTTTTTTGTGTTGATCTTATGATATTGTAATGTTTTGATCCACAACACCCAAAAAACTCTCTCTCAACCCATCTGCCATCTTTCGGGAAGTCGTGGCTAGATGATGTGTATGTACGGCGAGTCGAAAAGTCATGACGAGTTGACTGTAGTTTTGCAAGGTTGTGCGTCGAGCGACCGTGACAGACTGCGGGATCTGGGCAAGTCGGTGTAGAAGCTGAGTTGGCGAGGTGACAATCGCTGTGGTGTGGAGGTTGGTATTTGGCGGTCATGATCGCCAGTAGCGGGGAAAGGAAGGTGTGTGTGTACGAGTGGTTGCATGGCTTGGGGCCATAGTCAAAGAGCTCTTAGATCTCCAGTTTCTCCTCTTCTTATGTGGGAAGCTAAGTTTACGACAAATTGCCGGTTTTTGTTCTCAGATCTATTTGCGTGCTCATAACTCCTTCCTTGTCTTTAACCCCCTTCTTCGGTCAAGCTACAACTTCATTTGCCTCCTTCAACCGTATCTCCTCCTC